TTGGTTCCAGACAGATTTAATATTTTACAATAGAATTTATGAGAAAAAGAAAAGGCAATTTGGGAATTCTCGAAGAAAAAAAGTCCTCCATCCCCAAGGTTCTCACAGTTTCCATCATAAGAGCACTACAGAGCAGTTACCAGGTTAAAAAAAAAACAACAAAAAACAAAAAAAACAAAACAAAAAAGAAAAAACAACAACCTTACAATTACAGTATGTGGAAATCATCATATATTAAAAACTGTCTGGAGGAATATTCCATCAAGAGTTAACAATGATTATCAGTTATCTCTACAATAATTGACAATTGTGAGATTATGGAAGATTTTCACCTTCTATACTCTATCTTTAATGTTTTATTAATTTAAAAATGAGCCCTGGCTGCTGTGGCTCAGTGGATTGAGTGCCAGCCTGCAAACCAAAAGATCGCCGGTTCAATTCCCAGTCAGGGCACATGCCTGGGTTGTGGGCCAGGTCCCTGGTAGGGGGCATGTGAGAGGCAACCAGATATTGATGTTTTTCTCCCTCTCTTTCTCCCTCCCTTCTCCTCTATCTAAAAATTAATAAGTAAAAATGTTTTAAAAAATTTTAAAAAACCAAAACAAGCAGGTATTGGTTTTACCAGCTCAGGAGTGTCACTGCTAGCTAACTCCCTCCAGCCCTTCCTCATTACTGAGGATCACCAGATCATCAGATGACCAAAGCAGTCACCTGGGCTCCGGGGAGCTGAGGCAAAGCAGGGATTCTCACACTGGCGCTGCCTCAGAATCCAGCGGCTGGCCCACCCTCAGGGTCTCCGATTTAGAAGGTCTGGGGCGAGATCCATAATGTGCCTTGTTAACAGGTTCCCATGTGATGCTGCAAACTTTAAGAACTGCTATGGCCCGGGAAAGAAAACCTCAACAGGGGAATCAAAGCCAAGCAAAGACAAGTGTCACTCACTGCCCACTTTTGCCTCTGGCTGGCCTATAATTATTTCTGAGGAAGGGAACTTGATTTGACTGTCTCTATTTAATAAGAAGTTTTATTAGAAAAGAGATGCACCCTATCTTATTAAAGGAGAGCCTCATTCAGAGACTTTTCAATTAAGTCTCATGGCATCTGGGGTTGGAGGATCCAATCTAGGGTTGGCTGTGTGCACTGGGGCTTTCACCACCTGGGGTGGCTGTGGCTCATCACCCTCAGCCCAGGCCATGGGCTGTGGTTTCTCTGAACCCTGAGGAGGGGACATATGATGAGGGGGACAGGGTGGTGGTTACTGCAATACTCACGTCCTGTTTGGGAAGCAGTGTGGGGCTGTTCTCGGAATAGGCAAAATACAGAGAAAACCATCTCCACATACCTCATATAATCCACAATCAGAAATGTATTCACTCTCTTTTTTTATTGTGGTGAAATATACATGACATTTCCCATTGTAACCTTTCTTAAATGTACATTTCAGTGGTTTTACATTCACATTGTTCCATCCACCTCCAGAGCCTTTTCATCTTCCCAAACGCAACTCTGTACCCATTATCGCTTTGAAATACACAATTGCCTTTGTTGAGATAATGATTCACATGCCATACAGTTCACCCATTTTAAAGTATATAATCCAATGATTTTTTTAGTGTATTCATAGTAATGCAACTATCACCATGAATTTTAAATTTTAAAACATTTTTATCACCTCCAAAAGAAATCTTTTTCCATTAGCAGTCACTCCCCAGTTCCTTCAGCCCCTGATGTACTTTCTGTCTCTATAAATCTGCCTGTTCTGAACATTTCATATAAATGAAATCATATGACCTTTGTCCTTTTATATCTGGTTTCTTTAACTTAGCGTCATGATTTCAGGGATCGTCCATGTTATAGCTTGGATCACTACCTCATTCCCTTTTGTATTCACTCTTAATAAGATTGAAATGTGAATTTATTATCTCCTCTCTACCCCCAATGATTTCCTTCTCCACTTGGTTGATCTCTCCATCTACCAAGCTTCCAAACGAAATACTTCTCTCAAATCTTCCTTCTTTGCTCCCTACACCCTCCCCAAATACACTGCTTCACCAGATCTGTCAAATGTAGTTCAGAAATGACTCTACAGTGTGACCTCTCCTCTCTGTCAATGTTAATGCATCGTATTTCTTGCCTTGAGTATCTCCAGCCTGTCCATGGCCTGTCACTTTCAGGCTCTCCCTCCTCCTCCTGTCCCGCTCCTGTTTATCTTGCCAGTTACCTTCCTAAAATCGGTCGGCTTAGAAACCTGTGCTCCTACCCAATGCCTGCAGGTCTTGGTCACACTGGGCCTGGCCCAGAAACCACTGAAACAGACATTTGGTTGCACTCCTGCCCCTTTCACACAAGGCCCCTTGTCACATCGTCTGTTCCCCAGGCTCTGAGCATTCTCACTCATTCTTCCCTCTGTCTGAAACGCCAACGAACATCTACGTATGCTGGAGACGCAGCTCCAAGGGAACCCCAGTGTGTGACAGGGCCTCGGCACTTAATTTCTCCGGAAAGGTCAGGGAAAAAGAGAAGTCACTTTTGCAAGGCAATTCCTACTTTTAAATCTTCATTACTGATAAGATCAAAAGTCCCCTATCGTTAATCAGCTCTCATTTGTAAAAATTGGCCTGTTGGGATTATTGATTCCTACGTTAAACACCAATTTTTCTGTTTAAAGTTGTTAACACTTACTATAATGCATATTTCATATATACGATCTTCTGTTACTGGCTGGCACTTTTTTGGAATATCATTTGGCTCACTTTTTAATTGTGAAAATGTCCTTCCTTACACATGAGCCTTTGTAATTTTGAGAGGGAAAGAGGCTGGGTAGAGTGGGTAGAAAATAATAGAAACTGTATTTCTTACTAATCTCCTAAGACTCTTTTCCCAATTTACTATTTTTTTAGACAAAGAATTGCCATGAAAGAGGATGGAAAAATGTTCTTGGCAAGTTAGTCTATAAACTGAGGCTCTTCTTGTTTTTGATACAAGTTCCTGTGACTGATCAACTTTGAAGGTGATTATCCAGGCGCTCTCTGGATTTTTAAACAAGAACATCCTATTCCAGTTTTTATAGCCTTGTGGGAGAGCACGTTTCACCTTCTAGTTATTTCCTTTACAAAGCAAGCTTTTCCTACACGTCTTATAAGGCTAATCATAGTTTAGCTGTCCTATAAATGATCTACTTCTCCGACTTGATTACTTTGCATCTCCATAGAGCTGGCAAAACCAGCTTTCTGGGATTTGTTGCAAAAGATTCACTGAAAAGGCTAAAAGGGGAAGTGAGTGGGTTACTCCAAGAGTGGTTATTAAGCCAGGTCAAGGGTAACACAGGGAGATATTATTTCTACAGCTTTTGATGTGACCCGAACAACTCACCTTTAACCTGGGGTACATGATACAAAGGAAGGAGGGGGAAAGCCCGCCTCACAACTGTCAGCACACAGCCTTGACTGCTCGCTCGAAGCGCTCTCCTTAAATGTGCACCCACTAATTTGAGAATTTGAGGTGGACTATGTCTGCCTCAACGATCACTGTGGTGTCCTAAGGGTGATTTTCTCTCCCTCATTTTTTCTACATTTATTAATTGGAGTTCTTCTATAAAGAAGTCTTGTGCCCTCTTCCTGCCTTACTTAGTCAGCTATTTATTTATATCCACAGGGACTTAAAGATATGACTTTTATTCTGTGGATTATAACTCAACAGAATCATTATTTTGTTGCTTGAATTGTTCCAGCCTCGGCCTTTGGGAGAGCTTTCAGGTTGGCTCCTGTGCCCTTTTGACTTGCCTCGTCATTTTTATTGAGCATGTCCTTACTTTCTGGCACCAGAAGGTTTTTACATTTCTCCACAATGCTCATGAGAAGCACCAGATAATGACTGTCTTTTGTAAAGCACTTGGCATGTAATTTATATTAATGTAAAATGATATTAAAGGTTATCAAAGCAAAGTATCATTCATTACGTGCAAATTACAGATGTCAAGTCCAAGTACTCAGAGAGAGCAAGCACGACAGATTGTAAGTGGTATATAGGCAGAGGCTCGACCGCCTTCCACTTTTATCCAAAAGGCTACCACCACCAAGCAACACAGTGGGGCCTTTTAAGTCATGTGATCTCATTTTAAGTATGATGATCCAGCTACTTTCCATTCCCAAAATTCATCTTCTTTTCTGGTAGAAGTGGGAGCCCAGTGGGATAAAAATGTGTTATTAAATACAATGTATTTCTCTAACATTCATGAGATGAATTCACATAATTTAAAATATTACACTAACTATTCTGTTTTTAAAATGCTCTTGTAGGAGGGAGGCGGGAGGAGGAATCATGTCTACTCATGTTAGCAGTTGGATTTGAATCTTCACATTAACTTCCCTTGTGCTGCTGGTCAGCAAAAGCTTCTCTAAAGAAACATAAAAGGACAATAGGAACAATTCAGAAGAATCAAACAATGAAGGGGGATGTCCATTTTTGTAATTTAAACTTCAAATGAAAAAAATCTGTAGTGCTTCGAGTAGAATTGATACAACTCAGTTTACTTAAGACATTAAAATTAGAGCACAGATGAGGAATTTTTTAAAATGTTAAGACTTGCCATCTGTGTGTGTGTGTGTGTGTGTGAGAGAGAGAGAGAGAGAGAGAGAGAGAGAGAGAGAGAGAGAGAGAGAGAGAGATAGAGAGAGAGAGAGAGAATGACAGATTTGTCCATGCAGGAAGCATAACCAGATCAAGGAGTAGGGCCACATTATTCAGGTTAAAGAAGGAAAAGGTATGCCCTGAAATAGACCAGAGCCAAAATAAGACACAAAAGTTCAGCTGATCTGTATTCACGCATGTGAAGCTGGGGGGAAAAAAAGTAAACAAGAAGACTGACTTTCTCAGGCAGGACAGAGAGATGAGTAAGGTTAAGCAAGACATAAGACAAGCTGCTGATTTTCACCCCTGAGCCCTACAGAGTTCAGCCACCAGTTTGCTCGTGTGGTTGTACTGGCCTCTGCCACATCCAGGTAACCCCAGCCATGCTGGGTCTCACCAACAGCGCTCAGACTGTGCACGCATTGTTCCAGGAACGCATGCGGCAGCCGGCCGAGTCCTCAGCACTGAGATGCTAGTCCACCCCCAGTCCAGAGCAGCTATTTCCACGGTGAAACTGGCCCTGTCACTTTTAGGGCTCCAAGTCTGTTCGAGAGAGGGATGAAGTGGCCCAGTGACCTGGCCTTAGGAAGGAGAACTAACTCTGGAATTGGGCAGACCCCAGACCAGTTCTTCTGGATGAGGTTCAAGAAAGTAAAAAGTACCAGCAATAGTAAGTCTTAGCCAGGCTCTGTGAGTTTCAGGGTTTGTCAACTCACCTGTCATATCACAAGGTCTTGACGCCCTGGTATGCCAAGGTATGCAATGAGTGAGAGGCCATGGTGCCTGGAGTAGGTATAACTGAGTCTTCAGCTAGACCTTCAACACTTCAGATACATAGTTTCCATGTTCCTCAGGATTCTGCCATTGACGTCATTACTACCTTCTTAGCAGCTCTGTGGATGGCTCTGCTGCCCCTGCATTAATCTGTTTAGATTGGTCTCAGACACACAAGAAAAGTAATAGGAAAGCTGATGCTACTGATCTTTTTTTCGTAAGACCCTGATGCCCAGGTGTGTTTCTTTTCAAAGCTAATGAAACAGTTACAAGAACATCTTTCTGCAGAAATCCCAGGATGTAACCAATTCACAAGAGTTGCTCCACATCATAGGTGAGGTATGAAGACAGCCCTACACTGGGTAGGGGGTCAGCTTTTATTGGTGACCTGTGGGTCCACGAACCCTCAGCTTCCTCCATTTCTCAGGGCCAATGATTTAATTGCTTTATTGTCTTATTTTCTCTCTTCCTGAATGTCTCCCGTCTATTTCATTATATCTTCCTACCACCAGATGGTGGAAAGGGAAAAGAAAATAACGGGACGGTAAATGAATGTGGTGGCTGGCAGACTACAGTGAAAAAGGTGTGATGGTGAATGGACCCAAAGAGTTCCTGAATTAGCCATGCATTCCCACGGACTCCCCGCCCCCTCTTTTTTTTTTTTTAAATTTTAGTGCCCCCTCAAGGGTGGGTTGTGCGGGTCTGCGGATCAATATGGCACAAGGATGCCCGTTGGGGAGGGAGCTAGCTCTTGCCTTAGTGCATTCCTGGGAACATCATCAGAGGCTGGGAACACTGCCGAGCAACCGAACCCCATCTGGCCCCGGCACCGGGCTCTGGGTTAGGGCTCTGTTAAAGTCCGAGCGGGGCGACGCGCCCCACCTGCCCCGCTGCGCCCTTCTCTGCCTTTACGCATCTCCATCCCACCACCTCCTACGTGCAAACTCGCACCTGGCCTGCGGTTCCCAAGCTGCACTAAAGGGACAGAGTATATATCTCCCTCTATAGGAACCCCTTCTCCCTGCTTTCCAACACCCCCTCCTGTGAAGCCTTATTCTGTGTTGCCTCAATCTCCCCCCGCCCCCACCCCCCACCCCAGGCCATCACTCTCAGCAGGTGTTCGGCTCCTCACCTGTCCCTGGTCTCCCCTCCCCCAGCCTGTCCTCCCGCTCCGGTCGCGCCTCGCAGTGGGTTCCTTCCACCTCCTTTCCCACGTGCCCCTCCACTCGGACACCCCCTCCCCCACAGACTCCCACTTCCTCGGGTCTCGAGGAGTCTCGCGGCATTTCCCGGGGCGTTAGCCTGCCGTGGAGGGTGGGGGGCGTCCTAGCACAGAGCTGGGTGCTTCCCCAAAGGGCGGTGAGGGGGGCGCCCAAGCGCTGCAGCCGCAGGGACACTCCGCCCATTGCAGGCCCCGCCCTCGGGCCCCGCCCCCGCCCCGGCTGCCGCGCGTCCCCGGCAGGCGGAGCCGCAGGAGCACCGCGGCGGCGGCGGCAGGGAGGAGGGGAGAGCGGGCGGCGCGGCCGCGGCTGCCGGGCGCTAGGCTGGGCGGCGCTCTTCTTTTTTTTTTTTTTTTTTTTTCGCAATTTCCACTCGCGGGGAGCAGGAAACCCGGCGCAGCCGGGCGCAGCGGGCCGCGATGCAGCAGCAGCAGCAGGAGTCGCCCCGGGGCAGCAGCGACAGCAGCAGCAGAGGCAGCAGCGGGCGGCGCTGAGCCGCCGCGGCCGCCGATACAGAAAAGGAAGCCGGCCCAGCCACCGCGTCCCGATCCCTGCGCCCCGGTCCCGGCGCGCCACGACCCCAGCGCCCCGACCCCGGCGCCTGTATCCCCGCGCCCGCCTCCGCCAACTTTCACGCTGCCTCGGCGGCCCGGCCCGGCTCGACGCCAATGGGTGAGTGGAGGGCCGCCCGCGCCCAGGCGCCCGGGTGCCTACCTAAGCCTGGGGGCGGCGCGTCTGTTTCAGGACCGTGGAGCAGGGCAGGGCGCCCCAGGGGAGGGCCCCGACGGGTGACACCGTGGTGGGTGCTCTGCCTGCCTCGCGCACCCCCGTTCACTCCCACTCGCGCCCGCGTCCGTGCCAAGCCGGCGCGGCGCGGACGGGAACCCCGCGGGGGCCTGGGCGGAGGACCGCGGGGGCCGGCCAGGGACGGCTGGGCTGAGGGATGCAGGGGGTGTGGTTGGCTCCTCGGGTGGGCGGGGAGAGTTTGGTCTTGGCCATTTTCTCGCCCCAGCGCGCCCTCCTCTGCGCTGAAGGCGCGGGTACCGGGAGCTGGTGGGTTCCGGCTGTGCGCGGGGCTCGTGGTGCTTCCCTTGACCGCTGCGGGGGAAGCCAGATTCTCGGGGTTTCGGGGCGGCCGGGGCGGCCAGGGACTGGGTTGCCTTTGCTGGGGACTGGCGTTGTGGGGCGCGGGAAACGCCCCAGTACCTCGTTTGGCGCGCCTCGTTTGGCGCACCTCGGGTCCTGGGCACCCCTCTTCCTACCGGTCCTGACCCCCTCTCTCTCTGCCTGCCTTCCTTTTTCCAGCCCGGGGAGCTATCCGCTCCGTGGTGCTCAAAGGCCACTTCTCACATCCTCTTAAGTCTGCAGGCTCCAGGAACTGGAAAAGGCGATCCAGTCCTTGATTTACCGATCAAACATCAGTTCCGAGTAGGCAACTAACCCTCAACACAAGCCCCCTCCCGGGTCCCATCTGGTATAGACCCCGGAGCATTGGAGCCACCTTGCTGCCCAGAGGACTTGACACTTGACTGGGCAAAGGACTTGTGACTGCCTTGGCTATGACACGTTTGGTTCACTCAGCCAATATTCTGGCTGGCAGCCAGTCTCTCTTTCATGCCTCTGGCAGGTTATTTTAGGGTGTTTCTAGGCCAAGCATAGAAAGGCTGTAGATTATAATAAATTATAATAAAGTGAGACCTTTCTGTGTTCAGGTAATAGGATTTGGGTAGGCTAGTCAGAAAGTGATAGGCGAGCCGTCAGAGCACGCACATGAAGACAGATGAACTGGAAAGGGGAGGTGTAGCCCAGTCGGTTGTTGACAGGCAAAGTTAAAATCCCATTTGCGGTCGTTTGCCAAAACAGTTTTCCTTTTCTAAACTGGTGGTGATCTGATGGCCTCTCAGCTTCAGTGTCACTTTTTTCTCAGTACCCTTCTCTGAGCCCCTCACCACCCCAGTCTAAAGTTGTTTCTGTTATCCTTTCTCCCATAGCACCTTTTCTTTTTTGTATGGCAGGGTTTACATATTTATTTTTTGTTTAGCATTTATCTCTGCTACTGTAAGCTCCATGACCATAGTACAGTGCTGTGTCGCGCCGTTTTCGCTCAGTGCTGTTTTCTGTGGTGCCTGGCAGGGAGCAGGCCCTAAATAAATATTTATTGAATGAATGAGTGAGTATGAAACCCTCCTACTCTGTGGAAGATAAAACACAGCTCCATACTCTCTTTGTGCTTTGGCACCTAACAAGATGATTTAGTTCATTAACAAAAGTATATACTTTAGAATCACCTATCACTTTAGTAGCAGATTGGTTTCTCCATAGGTAACCAAAAATGTTGTTTTGATCACTTTTCACTTTGGGTGGGTTGCTGAGAGGGTTGCGCGCGCGCGCTCACACGCACGCGTACGCACGCACGCACGTCTTCTGGGGCTGGACGGTGCTTTCTCTATCTCAGTAGGAAGAGGACTGGGCCCTATTTAAGAAGAGACAGACCTGTTTATCATTCAAGTCTGAACTGTTTTCATTATCCAGACCTGTCTAAGAAAATTAGAGTGTTTCTGCAGTTTATAGTCCTTACAAACGTAATCTTTTTTTTTTACTATAACTATTGCAAAAGGGAGGAGGTGCAGAAAATGACCTTTATTTATATCAAGTGTTAATAGTTAGAAGCAATAAGAGTAAAGTAAATACTGTTATTTAACTCATTAAAATGCTTATAGTGGGATTTAAGAAGTTTGTAGTAGTTTGTGGCTAAAGATCATCTGCTCTTTTCTAAAGCATCTTCAGTGATGTATTCATATTTGTGATTATGTACAGGTATTTAACAATTGATTCTGTGTCTTCTGATGGAGCCACCTAACTGCTGTTTCTGAAGCAGGTGTGTGTGTGTGTACACATGTGCACACAGGTGCCCCCACCCCTTCCCCAGTCCCCCAAGATTTTGGTTTTCAGATTTGTCCAGTTTATCAATTTGAGACACTTGTATTCTTACCTGGACTGATAATGATTTTTCCGTTGATGGATAACACAATAAAACTGTATCAGATGGTCTTTGATCTGAAAAATAACTGAAAAGTATCAAATCCCTAGCCCTGAGATAAAGCTGGTTAGTTGTGAAATGGCCTCTTACAAAAGTCCGCTCAGAACGTGCCCTCTGAGGTTGTGGGGAGATGCCTACGGTGCCGGATACAGGGTAAGCCTCTTGTAATTACGATTGCACACATATTATTACCACCCAAAGCTGTGAGCAGTGAAGAATTTGCAAGCCCAGCACATGATTGCCATTTAAAGAATTCCTGAGTAACAACAAAGTTTGGACTGTTTTAGCAATGTATTGTTTTGGTGGTAGACTGCCTTATGCTGAACTAAAGCCAAAATGAATATCATGTGTTGGCCTCCACAGTCTCAAGTTAGAAATGGAAGAAAAGACTCCACCTCTATCGCTCATGACTACAGGCCCATCACGGCACAGGCAAAGCCTT